ATGTGTTTCTTTACTGCAGTGGGCTCAAGATAGTTTTTATGAAAACTGACTTGATATTTGACTGCATTAAAGCTCTGTACCTGTGTCCAGGAATATGACACATGGAGTTTTCTTTTAGCTTCAAGTGTGAAGTGCCTTTTAGACCGATAGCATTTTCAATGAGTGTGTGTTGTTCTCTCCACTTACAGCCAGTTGCTGTTGCAGATTATTTCCTGATGCTTTCTAAAAACTAAAGCTTCTGGATATGAGAGCACTTTTTTCCCCCAGCATACTGCTGCGTTAGGCTGAGTTTTTTATTACTTGGAGAAATGACATAAAGTCAGAAAGATCTCTGAGGCAGCTCAATGGTAGTGAGCCAGCTTCCAGGATTGCTTTATGTCAAAGTGCCTCTAGGCCTGCCTGCATTTGTCAGGGAAGAAACACTATTCATTGTTGTTCTTGATCATAAAATAGCCTGTTTCAGGATTGCCCTTTAGTAGGTACTCTATGTTCAGAAACACATTGATGAAGATGGGGAGGTGTTAGAACAGCAGCTGGAGTAACTGGTGCCAGTACACTTTGAGTCCTTGTGAGCATTGCTTACTTCTGTAGCATTTCCCTCGCAGATAGCTGGGTCATGCTACAAAGCAAGATTCCTTTGCCAGTTATGGAAGTGTTCTCTTCCCTCCCTGTGGGCTTCAGGATGTCTGAAGAAATTACATAGTAGGTTTGGAACAGGTTTCTCTGAAGCAGTACTAGTTTGAGCTCATTGTCAGTACTGTGGTGTGCAACTTCCACTTGTAACCACTTATGCACTGAACTTCTTGGTTTAGGGTTTTGAGGGGCAGCATCATCAGCACCTACAACTGAGCTAAGCAGATTCAGTTGTGATTTCCCTGCCTCCCATATAGTGTTGTGTCTTTTGTGTATGGAAGCTGATTTGTGATGCCACAAATGAATGGGGAACCTGCAGGTCACAAATCTCAGTGGTTAGATTTTGAATAACATTCTAGGAATACAGAAGTCTAGATTGTGATGTAAGCCCTGAAGTACAAGATTTTATATCCATTATGACACCTGCTGGTATTGTTACATAGGCATCTTCTCATCATAAGGATAAATGTATTTTATGTCATTGTCTTTCTAGATAGACACTTCCCTGACAGCATAAGAGGACTACCGTAGACAAAATTTGCATTGCACAAGAAGGGTTTCTTTTGTATCTGTTTGGCATTTACTGGTTTTATAAGTATCTGTACCTGGCGTTATGCAACAGAACAAAATACTTTGTCGTCTTGATATCTTTTCAGAGCTTGTGACATAGAATATAGAGTACTTTTTTTCATAGAAACTTCGCTTAGATTCTATTTTCAAAGTTTATTTTCCTTGAATGGCCTGTAGTATTGTGAATCATGGCAATCATTATAAAACAGTATCTTCTCATAAGATCATTAAAACCCAAAAATGACTCTGATACTACTGAAAATCAGAAATCTGCACCTCCTTCCCATAATAATGTAGTATTCCTCACAGAATGTTTACAAACAAACCAACAAAAAAAAATCCTGGGAGGTTGGACTAGATTTCCAGAGGTTCCTTCTACCCCTAGCGTTGAATGAAAAACCCACACTTACTAAGCATCTACCTCACTTGTTCATTAGGGGGCACTGCACAGCCGTAAAAGGATTGGTGGGATTTGCAGAGCAGCTTGGTTGCGTTGCCAGTGATGCCATTTCACTTCCCGTAACCTCTTCCAGACTGTCTGTACTGTCAGATGAAAATCATGGCTGTAGTTTAGGCTCGGTTCTGACTAAAAATGGTTTTGGTAGAAGTTTATGGTAATTATACTATGCTAAATTTCTTCTCTGTGTGCAGAGAAGTGTCTTCATAGTAGTTCACAACCCTGATTTGCCCTTTGCATTGGTATTACACTTAAGACATACTTCAACACGCTGTTTTCTAAAGGTTAAACATGGAGCATAACTATGCTCATTAGACTTTGATTTAGTTTTTAGACACATATGGGTATAAACCCCATATATAAATATGGGTTTCTTGCAACAGATCTTGGTGGGGAAATGCTAATTTTAAAAATTGCTTTCTTTCCAGCACTGTATAGAAACACATTTTGCTTTTGGACAAGGAATTTTCTGCATTCAATGACAAAATTTTTGCAACTGGAGAGAAATTGCGGTAAAAATAACTTTATAAACTCAACACAGGAGCAGAATGCTTTGCAGTAATGAACATTAATCTGTACCTGTATGTTTCTGAAGAGAACGTAGACAGAACATTTCTTTCATTCTCATTTTTTTTCCCCCAGGTATCTGAGTTGAGAAAATTCCTGATTACGCTGTAGGGGTTTATTTTTCTGTTTGTTTGCTTTAGTGCTCCCCTGTACATCTTAGCCTACGTTTGCATGGTTTTTTTGTTTTCCAAATTTAAAAAACTTTCTTCGTTTGGGATAAGGGCCATTTTTGTTCTGCCTTGTGCTATGCACCATGCATCTGTGTTAGTTTGACCGGAGCATTTAGATTCTACAGGTAGTATTAGAAGTAGGGAAATAATTTCATGAGCTTTATTGTATGTCAGTCCTGATGCTCCATCAGATTCGTCCTGTGTTTTATATGTCTTTTGGTCCATACTCTGTATCTTGTGGTACCCTTACAAGCAAATGACAGAATATTGTAGGATCTAATAAGGCTTGTTTACAAGGAGACTAAGCTAAAAAAAATCTTGGAAGGATAGCTATGCAGAGATGATAGGAAATCCAGCCAAACTCAGCCTCCTTTGAACTCTTGTATGTGAAAGACAGAAAATCTTAGAGGTAGATACATATTTTTCTTAGCTTTCTTTCAGGACATCTGCTAGTGGTGCTGCACCCCACCTCATTTTTCAGAAGTCCTCTCTAAACCAAGATATCTGCACAACTGAAGCAAAGGGGAAATGATACCTCTGTTTTAAATCTAGAGACTAGAAGAATACGACAGGGATAGCCTGTTCCTTGTTGGGGTGATGTATCCTTCCTGAGACACTTTGGGTACTAATACGTGTTGTGGTGCATTGTCAGCCCTATTTCAGTGGTTGTTGCATGAGCAGGTACTCATGCCTGATGTGCTTAGATCAAGAGTATGACAGATGATGCTACACAAAAAAAGCTGCCTAGAATATACTTCGTGGTTATTCTTATTGCTGAAAACACAAACTAGTCTTTGGCACTGACAGTTCCTGCTCTGTATGGTTAACTCTGGTCAGAGAAAAAAGATTAATGATCTTCTATGACCCACTCAAAATATATTGTATTCAGTTGGGTTTTGGAGGACAATACTTACATTTTCACAGAAAGCAAACAGTAATTGTACTGTTTCCAAGGGCATCTTCTTCTGGTCCATGCCAGCCTGTCACTTCACTTTTAACACCTCTGTCAAAACAGATCTTTCAGTTCTCTGGAGCCAGTTCTTGGTGTGTGAAATGCACGTCTCTTAATAATCCTGTAAATAATTATCTCATTTTTATGTCTAAGCCACAGCTGTAGTCAACAATTTTTCCACCAACTATAGTGTGAAATGTTTTAATACTCAAATGAAGATTTAAGACTAAACTCTTAAACATCTTAGATTAAAAACATGGCAGATCTTGTTTCATAAAATAAGTCAGTGTTTTATAAAATGGTCAGTGATAGTCACAAAGTATTAGTACTAACCCTGGTCTAGTTTGTTTCTAGCTTTTTTGTTGTTGTTCTGTAAGAAAAGCTGATTTAGTGTATGAAGGAATTAATGTGGCTGTCTACTACATTATGTACCCTGGTTTTACAAGCCGGCCATGGCTAGGTGCCCCTCTGTTTTCTGATGAAACAGCCAGGCAGCCCCTCCATGGAGGAAGAACATTTACTTCTCCCAACTACCTGGGTATTGGTTTTTGCCTTTTTTTTTTTTTTTTTTATGGGAAAAAAAAAAAATCACAGTCCTGTTGGATAAGCTGAACACAAGCCAGGAGAACACCCTTAAAGCAGCAAAGGCCTCTATTGCTGTATTGGCAAGTGTGTAGCCATTGGATTGAGAGAAATGGCAATACCTACCTGTTTAGAACGGGCAAGGCTGCATTGGGAGAACTGTGTCTAACTTGGGTGTCTTGTTGACACTGATGTCCTGGAATAAGGCCACTGGAAGGGCTTGTCAAGATGGCATGAGGAATGGAGCATGTGATGAAGGAGAAACAGGGGGAGTGGGTGTACTCATTCCGAAGAGAAAGAGGTCAAGGAGGGGAAACTGGGATGCTCTCTGACTCTGTGATGGGACGGGGAAGACAGAGAAACACTGGGATACCATATATTAGGAGGGAAAAAATTGTGCTATGAGGGATTTCAGACGTTGGAACATGATCTGAAAAGGTTTTGGTCTCCATCCTGAGAGCAATTCAAAACTCAGTAGACAAAATGATCTATGTTGGCTCTGCCATTGAGCTGGAGGTTGGATAAGCTAATCTCCAGGGTCCCTTCTAACCTGAATTATTGATTAGATTGGTGCTAGTGAGGTGAAAGTCCTTGTGATCTTCTGTTTATAAATGTGTTGAAGGAGTTTTGCTTAGCTTTTGGTCCAGCTTGCCTGTTCCAGGAGTGTTTGTGTGTTACAAATGTATAGATATCTCACAAATTTGATCCTGTGATGTATTGCAATCTTCTTCCTCACTTGTTCCTCTTCAGGTCTAACACCTCCAACAGGGTTCTTTCTGGAGGTGTGAGGTAAATCAAAGTAGTTTTGAGATAAATAACACATGCGTGTGTCTGCATCTGGGATACTAGTGACTGCTATTCTCATTTGACTGAGTTGAAGCTCCTAGCAGACAGTTACCTCTTTCACACGTGTCAGTGGTGCACCTGGTTATTTCATTAACTTCAGTAAGAAGCAGGAGCATGCAAAATCTTCACACAATTTGGTTTCTTCTTCCTAGATCAAACTTCTGGATCGGCACATACCAAAATGCTTGTAACACTTTTTGTATTTGCCTTTCAATGTTTACAGCAATTGGAAGAAAAAAGTGAGGATGAAGAGGATAAAGAGTGCTTAAAGCAAGCAATAACTGCCCTACTAAATCTTCAAAGCAGCATGGAACGGATATGCTCCAAAAGTCTTGCAAAACGAAGGCTTAGGTAAACATGTTTCCATTTTTCCTGCTTTCTGCTCTTCATGCTTTGCTATAAATCCAGGGCTCCCAGTTTCCTCTTTTAGTAAACAATGAACAAAATAGTTTGTGACAAGCCTTCTTTTTTCAGAGGAAGTGACATCAAAGCCAAGATAATTTGTTATTGTTTTAAAACTGTTCTAATTTCTATGTGTCCTTGCATACTGGTAGTTGAGACGTTCTGACAGTTCACTGGTAAGTAGAAAGTTACGGTATTTGTGGGTAACAAAGTTCAGATAATAAATATCCACCTAAAAATATTGTAAAGGTAGATTTCTGTGTGATTAGAAGGAATGTTTTTGAATTTGAAACTACTTAATCTGAAGAGTTTTTTGTGCAGTGGCTAGTTAAAACTACCACTGGATAACAGAAATAGATGCCTGGATAACTAGTACTTAATTGCACTGTTGTAGCAAATTCTTGGATTATGCTATCTGCTGTTTGATTTGGTGCTAATATTTGTGCAGTTATTTAAACACATTAGAACTTTATTTTTCCTGTCTTAAAATTGTTTCAATGTTTTCTTTGGCAACAAAGTGTAATCTTTAGGCTGAGACATGAATGCATTTAACAACTTATTTTCTCTGAATGTGCTTCCTCCAAAGTAACACAGTCTAGAACTGCTTTGTTGTCTGTGTGCGAGTGGTTTATTAGGCTGAGAAGCACTAGTGGCTTGCCTCTGGTTGCCTGTGTTTAGGTAATTTATTGGGTAGAAGACAAATAGAAATTCACCAGTTGAGGCATTTAAAGGGAAACCTTAGTCAAGATGCTGATACTGATTGCTAAAACTGTTTTCAGTGGAATTCTCACCACTGAGAAAGATGTTCTGATTTTGCTGATGGTGGTGGCTGTGGTTTTTAAAAACACGTATACTAACAGGTTGCCTTTTTCCCATCCCTCACTGAAGTGAATCTGCATGCCGGTTCTATACTCAGCAGATGAAGGGGAAACAGCTAGCCATTAAGAAAATGAATGAAATCCAGAAGAACATTGATGGCTGGGAGGGTAAGGACATCGGTCAGTGCTGTAACGAGTTCATCATGGAAGGGACGCTGACGCGTGTGGGGGCGAAGCACGAGAGACACATCTTCCTGTTTGATGGCCTGATGATTTGCTGCAAGTCGAACCACGGCCAGCCGAGGCTTCCTGGTGCTAGCAACGCAGAGTATCGGCTGAAGGAAAAGTTCTTCATGAGAAAGGTACAGATCAACGACAAAGACGACACTAACGAGTACAGACATGCTTTTGAAATCATCTTAAAAGATGAGAACAGTGTTATTTTTGCTGCTAAGTCGGCTGAGGAGAAAAACAACTGGATGGCAGCTTTGATATCTTTGCAATATAGAAGCACGCTGGAAAGGATGTTGGACGTGACGATGTTGCAGGAAGAAAAAGAGGAGCAGATGAGGTTTCCAAATCCGGAGTTTTATCGATTTGCAGAACCTGACTCTGAAGAGAATATTGTGTTTGAAGAGAACATGCAGCCCAAATCTGGAATCCCCATCATCAAGGCAGGAACTGTTGTCAAGCTCATTGAGAGGCTGACTTACCATATGTATGCAGGTGAGGCATTTCATTTATATAGCTGAAACTCAAGGTGGTGACGAGTTCATGCTTCTCTTTGTGTTTACATATTTTGCTGCACTTATTTAAGTGTATAGGAAGTGAAGATGCCTTGCAGTGCACATACACTAACATACTTTCTGAGTTCAGGTTTTGAGATCTAAATATAAACCTCTGTAGCTGTAGCAGTTAAAAATATGAATCCTGTTTGGCTGAACGTAGCGGGATATGCATGTGCATGAGGTTATTCTCAAGCAAGGGATAGAGGGGTGGGGGCCTGCAGGAATTGAGCCCTAGACAATACTTCTTCCTGTATGCCCCAGGCTACAAGAATTGCCTTCCCTCAAGACTTCCAAAGCTGGATAGCACATGAAGCACCAGCATTTCAGCTGAGAGTTTTGGGCTCAGTGTTTTCAGTTAAGGGTTGGACTCTATCAAGCGTGTAATGAAAAGGCCAAGTATCAGCTTGCTAGAAGCAGTCACCTGCATGCTTTGGCCTCAGAACTTCACCTTATTCAGAATTTCAGTAGGAATTTGGTTTTAGGACTTTTGGCTTTGGGTTTGTGTTTGTGTTGAAGGTGCATTGAAGGCATTTGTGTGATCATCCAGTCCAGGTTCAGCGTGTGGAGTTTTTCTGATAACTTCCCAGGATTTTCATAAGCTGTACTGAAAAGCATGGGCTTGAGTTTGGATTTTTTTTATTAATTTTTTTATTCTATCTGAATATCAGTTATGCTAAAACTTCATGTATTAGTGCTTCTTATATTCAACTGTAGATTTTTAAAATTATGATTTTTTGTATTGTTTACACTCATTTTCCTAAATTGTTCTTCTGCAGCTCAGTCCTGTATACCCTGCATAGACCAGGAATGTTTGTTCAGAAGAACTGGGGCATAAGCAGACCATAATTAGTGTAGTTTGTTACTTTTGTTTATCTTTAGGAGGTTTGTAAATACGTCTGTTGAATCCATTACTTTTATTGCTCTTCTCCACACTTTCTTCAGTTGAGCTTTCCTAACACTTATTAGAAACCTAAATGCAATATTGTGCTGGGAGTTTTTACCAGAGCAGTTTTGTGCCTGTCTTCATTTTCATGTAACTTTATAAACTTTTATCTCTTGGCTTTGAATGTTATAGGCATGATTTATGACATAATTTTATGGGTTTTGGAAGTTAAAATGAAACCATTCAGCCTTAAAGAAAGGAAGACACACAAAAAAATGTTATTTAAAGCTAGCATTGTATTTGGCACAGAATTAGCAAAAATAGTGCTTCATTACTGCTCTTGAGAACATCTGCTTTGCTTTGGCTAACTGGCACACCGTTGAGAATTGCCCTTTCCATCCGTGATGGGACTTGGGTGCCACTGCCTTGGCATTGCTCCAGGTGCTCAGCAGTGCTCTCCACATGCTGTCTTTGTCCAGAGAGAGACAAACTACATTCTCCAGTTCCATAAAACAGAAAGGCCTGTTATTAGGAAACCTGTTGCTTTCTGAAATATGTCTCTCATATTGTTTTTTTGTACCTGCATGTCCTTTTGACCTTTCTAGCACATAGGACATCAAGGAAGTATTCAGATTGCTTTATTGGATCCACCTTTGTCCACGGCCATTTAAATCCCTGCTTGTAACAGCAGCTATCTAATAAAGCTTTAAGCAGGTTGCTTGAAGTTGTAGGTGTGTGTGACAGTGATGAAACTGAGAATGTGGGCATTGTGAAACAGGCTGAAAAACTTTGACCAAAAGAATAAAAATGGTTGTTTTGTGATGTATTTAACTTGTCTTTGTAGCCTTAAAGATTTTAGTGCAACATACATGGACCTGATACTGAATTGCTAAGTTGCACATAATTTCCCAACACCCTTGTCTTTCATTCTGTGGCTTCTGTTTTACAACTGGTTTTCTGAGAGGAAAAATATCATCGTTCTAACCATTCTGTGCTGTCCTTTCCAGGGGAACAGAGAAACAGAGATAAGTGACTCAGCCAAAAACGCTCTGTTGTAGTGGAAACAAAGTTCACTTGCTGTGTAAATCATTCAGTGTTTTGCTGCATTTTATGAGATGCAATGACATACAACTCTCATACACATATCAGCTGAGTTCAAGGCTTCTCTTGTGCTTGGAGATGTGGCGAGATTACTCTGGTGTTGTCTAGCCAAACAGCTACAGACTGTGGAAATGCTTTTCTTGCCCTACATGGGATGGTGTATGCGTGATTGTAATGTTAAAATAATTTATTGATTTTATATTCGTGTGCCAGAATAGCAAGCCCTTACTTCTCTGAGGCGACTTTTTCTCAAATATGTTGTGACTGGTGATGGCAGCCCTTGACCTGACAGATTAAAGACAGTATTATCTGTAGTTGTTATTCTTCTGCAGGTTTTTATCGTTGTAGGTCAAATACTATAAGGGATAGTTAGAGATGTAATTGCAGAGGTCACAGTGATTTGTTGAAAATAACTGAAGAGCATTTTATTATGCAGCTGTGTTCAGATGGTAGTCAGATCTGGTCTCACCTTTGTTTTTTGTCTGTGAAGATCATGAGAAATGCATCTCATTTGTAGATATGGGAGTTGGACCTTTTATTTTTCTTCCCTTACCTCTCGAACCAGCTTCTCTGCTGAAAATTTCCTCTGTTTCACTGTAGAATGGGGACAGTCCAGCAGCCTAGCTCTAATGGAGCAGTGCTCCCAGGGATAGGAGGCATCCAGCCACCACGAGAGCTGGGGCAGGGAGACCTCTCTGACAGCCACCTGGCCACAGGATAGAGCAGACTCCAAACCATGCTGTGGTGGAGCAGCAAATGAGAAAAAGAGAAACCTCTGCAAAGCAGATTTCCATGTATTTTTACACAAGAGAAACTGTCCTTTGAGTACAAATTCAGGCTCTGACCCTATTTGAGTATTCTGGTGGGTTTTACTTGTTTCAGTGTTCATTAACTCCTCCTGTGCCTGGTTTTTGTTCAAGAACAGCTGGGCTGGGTAGTACCAAGATTTGAAAGTCATGGCAATTTTTATTTTTTTTTTTATCTATAGGGCAGTGCTCTTCTATTTTTAAAGCTTTGATATGTTAAGAGTGCTTGTGCGTCATCCTAGTGTCCGTTTCCTTTCTTAAGGAATTCAAGGGTGATTATTTATAAATCCTTGTAGAACAAGTTATTGTTCTTTTTCAGCTTTCAAATTGGTTGTATTGAAGGATTATCACATGAGCAGACATCCTGACTAGTGTTGTCTGTATTTTTTCTAACACTTGCTCATATATTGTACACTATTTTGAGTTACAGGTTTTGCTAGTAAGATAGCAAGGTTAGATTTGCTTTTATGATCTACTTAATGTGAAATTCAGTATGTATTGCAGATGTAAACACTGACCTTACCTGTAAATAACAATGACTTAGAGCTTGCAGTGATCTGAAAATTTTAATTGCTATGGAGACTTTCTTTTTCGTGTAGATAAAATCTTTTTAGGGTGGCTGCTGTGTACAGAATGCAAGCTGTGAAAACATGAGTTACTGTGCTTCTATACTTGTTTTTTGGGACAACAAAGATTTTCATGGTTGGGATGGTAGGGACAGGGATGACATTCTTCATGCAAAAGGATTTAGAATTTTACTTTTGAAAAGGATTTTAGACTGTATAATAAGAAAAATGGAGTCATGAAGGACATAGAGATGGTAAAGCAGAATGGGCAGTTGTTTAAGAAATGGGAATTATGCAGCACAGAAATGAAAGGAAACGCTGTGTTACACAATACACAGCCAATCTGTGCAACACCTTACAATAAACTGTTGCCCAAATGAACGTCTTAGCAGCCTCTAAAAAAAGTAGGATGTTCATTCAAATGGTCAAGATGCTGGTAAGTAGTTCAGAAGTATTTTTAGAAAGCTTTTAAACCCCCATATTCCAGGAAACAAATCTAGTGGCTTAATATAGTGTTATGTCAAATAATGCAGGCATTTTTTTTTTCTTTATTACAGCTTATAGGGAACTTCTGCTTCAAGTCCTATGTGTTCCTCTTCAGCCACCCTCTGTTAGAAAAATTACCAACTGGAGTTTGTTTTTAAAATCCTTATATGGATTAATATGCAAAACTGTTGCAACTCGCTTATTAATCTTGTACAGTGATAACAATGTTAACCTTGTTTCTAGTCAATTCTGTGCACTGCCAGGATGCTCTTACTTGAAAACAAATGGGTTTGCTTTTATAATTAATAACTGTTCTCTTTTGGATACTTGCTTGTTTTTAAAATGCAGTTGAATATTTTAAATGAACTGATATGTAGTTAGTCAATTTAAATCTGTTGATTTTCTTGAAGTGAAATAAATATAACTTCAAAGTATAACAGTCAGCTGAAAAAATATCTAGTCTGCCTTAACCACAACTGATGATCAGTTGTACCAGTTTAGGGAAAATATTCTCCCCTTGAAGAGGACATTTCTATCCAGTGCAAAGTTACTTAATCTTTTGAGTTACCATGTCCTGATCATAGTCAAAACCAAAGTTGTTTGCTAGATGATTTATAAATAAAAGAATCTATTATTTTCAAAGTTGTTGAAAAAGAATTCAGTCTTTTAATAATTGAGGTGAAAGAAAAAGTAATTGCTTTGAATTTTCAACAGAATAGAAATGGGATTTAAATTGTGCTTTATATTGCTATTTTAAGAGGCTCTGAATTGTTTCCAGAGCAATTTTGGTTTACATCATCTCTGTAAATGGATAGGTCAGCATCCTTAATTTTTGAAGTATAAAAAAAATTAGGTAATTGCTGACATAAGCATAAAATCATTCTTTGTCTTAGATCCCAACTTTGTTCGGACTTTTCTCACAACGTATAGATCCTTCTGTAAACCTCAAGAGTTGCTGAGCCTGCTAATAGAAAGGTATGCCACTGTTAAAAATACTGTTTCCATGAAGTGCATTTTTTTTTTTGCTGGATTTTGAGCTGTATTTTGTCAACATTTTATTCATGCATGCTGTGAGCAAGACCAGTGCAATAGGAGCCTCGTGCTTATACCCATCTTCTGTGCTAGGTTTGAAATTCCAGAGCCTGAGCCAACAGAAGCTGATCGTATAGCTATGGAGAACGGAGACCAGCCTCTTAGTGCAGAGTTAAAGAGATTTAGGAAAGAGTACATTCAGCCTGTGCAGCTGCGGTGAGTATTGCATCACTGTGAGCCAAACTGGCTTCCTCTGCATCTTCTGAGCTACCATCTTTTGGGTGCAGTGGCCCTTTGTGGATACCAGCAGCCTTGCTTGTAGCTGCTTTGATAGAGAGTGTGCATGGGCAGGCAGCTCTTTTGACCTCGCTGCTTGAAAACCTGGTGGGAATTTGAATTCATGATGGTATGAAAAGCCTTGGGAAAGGCTTGTGCTGAGTTTTGACTATTGGTATGCAGATTCCTTTCTTAGACTCACACTAGGTTGTGGTTTTTTTTCCAAGTTTCTGCAAGGCTATACAACATGTGTGCCACATTTTAAATAATGTTCTTTTTATGAACAATAGCATTACTCTGACTTCTTTAAATCTGAAGTAGAAAAATACTTACAGCTGGTTGCTGGTGGAATGCAGACAGAATAGTTGCATTTGGTCTGCTGATTCTGATATTCCTTTGAGACCTCATGTTGAAATGCTGGATGTGAAGATAGACTGTATTGTGGAGAGCTTACTTATCTTTTACTTTTTCAGAGTACTGAATGTGTGTCGGCACTGGGTAGAACACCACTTCTATGACTTTGAAAGAGATGCTGATCTTCTGCAGCGTTTGGAGGAATTCATTGGAACAGTAAGAGGTACATAGGCTTTCTGAAGTGCTGGCATTTATCATAAAGCATCCCTTTTCAAAGGTCTGGAGTGAAATCACTTTTCCTTCCACTGCACAGATGAAGAAACATGGGAACAACTGCTTATTAAACATTTCACAAAGAACCTAAAATATTTTTAGTAAAAAAACCTCTGCATTATTACTCTAAGTCTGGCCCCTGTTCAGAAGAAAGAATGTTATTTACATCCTGACAAATAAGTATTCAGGTTTTTTTTTATAAAAGGACTGAAATAATGCAAAATAATAACTGAGTAATGATCAGGACTGAATAATTGCTTCGATTGTCCTCTTAAACTAAACATGGGTAATCTTTGTAAAATTTTGATGGCGGAAACTACTATTTCTTTGAAGTAAGGATTTCCAGCTATTTTGCAGTGCGTATTAGACATGTAGAACACCTTCCAGCTGTGATTGCATGGATCTTCCCTGTTCCCTTATAAGAAAAAATGAGACAGCTACAGGAGCAGTTGATAGGAAAATAGTATGTTATACTAAGTATTTAATTTTAATTTGGCAATTAAAAAGAGGGGGAGAGTGAGTAAGATAGTCTAGTGTGGATTACTGGTAAATTGGATTTGCCATCTCATACATGAAATTCTTGTGTAGAGCTAAAAAAGCAGTTGGCCTTTGAGTTTCATTCTGAGCTTTGATGCTAAATGAAGTAGAGGAAGGTTCTCCATGTTTCTTATTTTGCCTTTCTGTGTTATCTGAGGTAAATATGTTCTCTTGTCCAAAGTATGAAGTTCAGGGTGTTTACAGAAGTGCATTTTGGGCAAAAGAAGGTTAGCTCCCATAAACTCAGACAAGAAAGGAAAACACTTGACTCAAAACAGGAGCCTAATTTGGGTGTTCTAAGTTGTGCTTGGGCAAACTCAACTTGCTCAGCATAGGTTGTTGAAGAATTCTTCTTTTTATGTTCAAATGCTTGGAGACTTGTGTGAGAACGCTGTTTATGTACTTCTAAAGAGTATATGGTTGCTTTAATTTGTTAGGTTCTGGGCTTAAACCCAGAGATCTCTTTAGCGTCCTGGCTTCTTTTGGAAAAACAATATTATGAGTAACTAACTAGTAATTTTCTCCCTGTGTGCCAGGCAAAGCGATGAAGAAATGGGTTGAATCGATCACAAAGATAATCCACCGGAAGAAGCAGGCACAAGCCATTGGGCCAAGCCACAACATTACTTTTGAGAGCCCACCTCCAGCAATTGAATGGCACATAAGCAAACCAGGACACACAGAAACTTTTGACTTGCTCACGTTGCATCCAATAGAAATTGCTCGACAGCTCACTTTACTTGAGTCAGATTTCTACAGGTAACTTTCCTCCGCTGAAAAACGCATGACACAAACCAACATAATCTCCAGCATGAAATTCTTTCTGTGGGCATCTGCTGTGAAGCTCCACAATAGGTCAAGGGACTTTACCAATGATGTGTAATAATTTCTGCTTTTTTCAGAAAAAAAAAAAAAAAAATCTAAAAAACAGTATTTAGATTATCCTCCCCAAGTTAACGTACAGTACATGTGACTGATGCGTACTGTTAAGTACATCTTGCTGCAGGTTTTTCTTGCTATTTTCCGAGTAGATCAACCTTTGAGAAGCATGAATGTCAATTAAATTCATTTTCTTCCTATCCTAGTTTGTGAAGTAAATCATGGACCATGTCAGATCTCACCAGCTGTGTGGGAGTGATTGTTTAGGTGTTGGAAGCTCACATTTTATTATGGTGAATGAGATACAGAGTTCGTTCTTCCTTTAGATGATCAGAGGTGGTTAATAGTCGCATAAATGAAGACATATTTAAACACTAAAGTAGAAGTGTAGAAGTACCACTTAGTCACGTGGGGAGCCTAACATTGTAGAGGAGAAGTGATACCTTAAGAATTTATTTCCAAGTATTAATTCCGAATTCACTGGAAATGAAGCAGTTGGGGGAAAATATTATCTTCTTTCCTGCTTTTAATTACATTTTTTGATACATGCATCTACTCTTCTAGAGCTGTGCAACCATCTGAACTAGTTGGAAGCGTGTGGACAAAGGAAGATAAAGAAATTAATTCCCCCAACCTTCTCAAAATGATAAGGCACACAACTAACCTCACTTTGTGGTTTGAAAAGTAAGTGACTTTGCTGAGTGAGCATCTACTCCCTTTCTGGACATTTACAGTCCATTTAGAAGTATACTATGAAAAATGGTATTCAGGGCAAATTCCAGTTTTAAATTGTTTTTAGATGCTACAACTGGTCTCTGTGAGACTTTTACCATAATGGCCTCAGCATTTAGCTCTTAAAATAATTTTTTTTAAAATGTTTATTCTCTAAACAATTTCAATATTATGTCAAGTAACTTGATAAACTTTTCATATTTGTTTGTGTTACAACTTAATATTTGATTTTGGAAAGCTCATCAAGGCTTTAATACAAAATCAAATGTTCTTGTGTATTTAGATGCATTGTAGAAACAGAAAACCTAGAGGAAAGAGTAATTGTCGTGAGCCGGATAATTGAGATCCTGCAAGTTTTTCAAGAGCTAAACAACTTTAATGGTGTCCTCGAGATCGTCAGTGCTATGAACTCTGCAGCAGTCTATAGACTGGATCACACATTTGAGGTACAGTGAAATATTTTCCATTTTTGGTATGAAAGTGTAATGCAGTGCATGTTAGCTATATTAAAAGCCTGTCTTTTCAGTAAGCATGTCTTTCAAAGAAGGAATGAGGAAGGTAGAGCCACCAACAAATGAATCAATCAGGGTATAATAGACTTTTTTTTCTTGGTTTCAGAAGCAAGAAATCAATCCTCACTTAGGAAAGGCAGGAAGAGGTAGCAAGATTCTGACATGATGGGGCACTGTCCTCATGTTCACGGACTTAAAGATCAGTGGGAGACCATTACTCCCAGTATTGTTGCTGGGCTTTTACCCAGTTGTTTCTTTACCCTGTCTTTCCAAACAACCTGTTTCATGTCTCTTTTTAGCAAATTCCAAGTCGCCAGAAGAAGATTTTAGAAGAAGCTTATGAGCTGAGTGAGGATCATTATAAGAAATACTTGGCGAAACTCAGATCCATTAATCCTCCTTGTGTGCCTTTTTTTGGTATGTATGTTTGGTTTGAGTGAGCAGTGTTATGCAGAAACATTTGGCAAGTATTGAGCTAGGGCACTGAACAGAATATAAGCAATAGTGAAAAGACAGTTGTAACAGGACAGTTGGGTTTGAATTTCAAGTGCCCAGACTTTAATTGCATATATGTGAAAGAAAAAATAAAGTGACTATTCATTGCAGATGTTACTTGCAGCAAAAATAAGTGACCTGCAATATATTATTTGCATGTTTACTCATTTTTACTTTGAATGTGGTTTAAAATGTCCTGTGGCCATAAATGCCTTGACCAGGAGGTGGTCACATTAGAAATATTATTGCCATTGACTAGTAGAGGAAGACCCTCTTCCCATCAAGAATTCAAAGAAATAAGCTAGAGTTTTCATTTTTATAGTTTCTTATAACTAGAGTCTTATTTCTGTTAAAAAGTCTTACTTGTATAAAACCAGTTTTGGTAGAAAACCTTTAGCATAACTGAACCTTAACAGTTGTTCTTTCAAGTAGATACTTGGAATTTCTGACACACAGGAAGCTGTGAAGTTA